TTACTATTACTATTACCATTTTGTAACATACATATATATACATATATATATATATATATATTTATGTTGTGATATTTACCAGGTAGATATACTTTTGATTATAGTGCGAGATCTTCAAAACTTTAAAATAGGTATATGAGATGCCTGACTTAAAATTTTGGACGTAATTTGTTTTGCTCACTAACGTAAGATTGGTTCAAGATGGTATATTGAGTTGGTTTTTGGGCCGGTCTTCCCTCGAAACGTCACTGAACTGATTGGTGTGATGGTATTTGAAAAGGATAATTGGCAAAAAAAGACACCATTTGCGATATTGGATTAAGAATGTGCATTTTTCAGTCTCATGTTCTCGAATGTCCTCAGGAGGTGGAACTATAATAATAATTAATAATAATAATAATCTATAATAATTCTGAGAAAATTATTGTTCTAACCAAGAAATGTTTGAAAATATCAGGGGATACGAGTTTAGATGAATTCTCAGTCTAGACTTTGGTTCGGAAAATCTTTCAGGAATGCCAGTAAAACTTTTAAAAACATTAACAATTAGAATATTTTTCTAACATTGTAGAAGAAGGGAAAAAATGAATTGCATTTCTCAGTCTTAGATCTATATAAATATGTGGTAGAAAACAGGATTTATTTATTTCATTTTATTTTTTATTTATTTGTTTTATTCATTTATTTATTTTATATTACAGTGGCTGTTTTATGTCATTACTTCTTTTATAAATTCATTGTATCATAGAAACCTCAAAACGTAAACTACGCGAGTTTTTCAATTGCAACATTATTATGGTTTTCATAATGCCCATGTTGTGGCTCAGATATGGTAAACTTCAAATATATAATCAGTGGACCTGAAAAGATCTAGAACAATATGGCATGATGTATTAAGTGATGAAACTTTCATATCTATTATAATAATGTTATTACTGTTATTATTATTATTATTTTTTTTCCCCTCTCTCATTATCTCTTCTTGGCTTCCTTTTTTTTTGTTATCCACTTTACCTGTTACTATTTTCTATCTCTGTTTATTTTTTTTAGTGACTGATAACATTTTGGGAAAAAAAAAATCCTTATTTTAGATTGGACATTCATGCAGAATTACAGCTTACTTGTAATTGCCAGTAATTCCCATCTTTAATTAATTTTTTCCATTTGCTATATAATCCTTTTCTCAGTGAAAGTTGGTTTTACATTACTTTTAGGCTTGTTATTGATTAGTTTTTTAAAATGTTACATAATAACCAGCCAGTAGTTTATGCCAAAAGTCATGAAAACTTATAATTTATACCTCTTACAGATTTACTTGTTGACTAGTGAAAATTGTGTGCTGCTGCTGCTTAAAAAGAAATTACCATCCCCAATATATATGTGTGTGTGTGTGTATCTGTATATGTGAATATATATATAATAAATATGTATATGTATATGTATATATATATATATATATATATATATATATATATATATATATATATATATATATATATATATATATATATATATAATAATAATAATATGTATATGTATATATATATATATATATATATATATATATATATATATATATATATATATATATATATATATATATATATATATATATATATATATATGTATATATATATATATATATGTATATATATATATATATATGTATATATATATATATATATATATATATATATATATATATATATATATATATATATATATATATATATATATATATACATACATATATATACATATATATACATATACATATTTATTATTATATATATATATATATATATATATATATATATACATATACATATTTATTATATATATATATATATATATACATATACATATTTATTATATATATATATATATATATACATATACATATTTATTATATATATATATATATATATATATACATATACATATTTATTATATATATATATATATATATATATACATATACATATTTATTATATATATATATATATATATACATATACATATTTATTATATATATATATATATATATACATATACATATTTATTATATATATATATATATATATATACATATACATATTTATTATATATATAT